AATCTCACATTATTTTCAGTGGGAGCCAAGCATAACCCATAATCCAAAATGCACTACACACTTTTACTAAGCTGTGAAAGAGGGTTGGGACTTGTATAATGAGTATATACCATACGAGTATTTCAGTTGGCAAAAAGGAAGTTTTATTTCTTCCTGTGATGCCCCTCAGTGAAGGGGTAAGCTTACAGCTATGAGCTGCATTGGGGTGGTTTTTTATTTTTTTCATGCAATGTATTATCATCCATGACTGTCCCTTCACGGGTGAATTGGTTGCTGGTTATTGCTCTTCTCTGAACTACTGTAAATGTGGCTTTGGTTCATTGTCGGCGTGCTTGAAAGGAAACAGCATATAATTGAATATTTATTGACATGATTATGTATTTATCCACAAAGACAGAATTTACCCACATTCTAAGTATGCATTTTACACCGATTTAATTTCTTAGTTGTCAGAAATGCACACATATTATTCGAACACATGCAGAAATAACTTTGGAACATACCCTGAGGGTCAGCAACAGTTAAACCGTGCCTTTATAATTTATTAAGGTGTGAAGACCCAGAGGCAAAGTGATCCTGGAACTAGTTTTTTTAGTAAAATTACATTTTGGCTTAATGTTATTTAAAGATCTATCTTGTTTTAGAATTACAGACTATGAATTACATACAGTCGATGATAAATATCATATATATATATATATATTTGTGGTCAGGGAAATAAGCCATATTGACGTTAGACCTTATAATGAACTAAAGTCGGTTGTGCCGGTTGTTCGGGCGGGCCTGTAAATAAAGAGGGCAAAAAGGATATTTAACCATGTCACTTTAATACGTGACAGATTGTCACAATATACATGCAAAAGTGATTGTAGCCTTCAAACAATACATACACTCGAAGAAGGGCACTCACTAGTCTTCTTAATTTTAAAACTTTAATCAACGTTCAGTAACTTTACAGTATCACAAACGTTTCAGTCCTCATCCTGATGAAAGTCCGGATGAGGAGTGAAACAGTGATACTGTAAAGTTACTGAACATTAATAAAGTTGAACAGTGAATAAAGTTTATAAATTAAGACCAGTGAATGCCCTACTTCAAGTGTGTGTGTGTGTGTGTGTGTGTGTGTGTGTGTGTGTGTGTAATATATATATTTTTTTTTTATTTCTTCTCAAATAAAAAATTTCAATTACAGTTTCTTGTACAAAATTATTTTATTGTTAATTTATTTTTATTATTCCCCCCATTTTAATTTTTATTTATTTTTTAATTTTTTATTTGTTTTAATTTTTTTATTTTCATTATATTGTTGGTAACTTTGTAACTCATGTATTGACTCATTGTTGTTAAAACTCATGCACTATCAATGTGTATTGTCGATATGTTTATTGTTATTACATTATATGTATATTTGAAAAAAGATAATTTTCTATTTATGATACATTATAACCCAAAGAATATTCTGCATGTAATAGGAACACTTTAGTGTTAGTGTGAATAAAATAGACTGAGTTTCAGCATTTTCTTCTGTGTTCGTGCTTTTCTGTAACATTTCATTCATTTTCGATTTATTGGTTTGGCAGTTTAAAACTACCAAACACCGACCACCCTCCTGGCTCATTAACTTCAAAAGAACCGTCTATTATGCGCTCTCTGGTCGGCCACCGTTCGTATAACCGAATGCCACGTGGAACAGAAAACGGTGGCCATCTTGTTTGCACGAAAGGAGGCAGCGGGACTTGGTCGTCGAGTGTCTGGAAATAAAATCGGACACTCGACCTCCCGAACCACCGCTGAAACATACGAACGCCTGCTTCCTTTAGATGCCGAACAGCCAGGAAAGCGCCATTCGGTACTTTGGTTCATACGAACACGGGGATCAATCGCTCCTATGAGCCAGGAGGATCCATTCGTGCTTTTATTAGTTTTTATGCTATTTTCTGAATTGACCGACCGCACACGCTGAATTCGTGGAACTGTTTTGGGCAGGAGCCTCGTGTGTGGTCGGTAACTTATGACTTCCATACTTTTTGAGAACCCCTGAACCGATCTGGGTGAAATTTGAATATGTTGGTCCCCCAGATCGGGGATATCAGGGGATATGTAATTTGTGGGGGTACATGTTGTATAAAGGGGTGTTCTAATTTTTGGGAAAAGTGTGTGCCATCTGCCTGGAGATAATTGGGTTATTCCTTAACTATCTCAATATCTCCCAGGCAGAGAGAGGGAGGGTGTTACTGTAAATCTGTATGCTGATTGGTTATTGTCTTTGTTTACTGTGGGAGGTCCTCTTGCAGGAGAATTCTCATAATAGACAGTGTTGCATCAATAAAAGTTATTCCTGTTTCACCCTTCATGAAGTCTAGGCACACTTTGTGTCTAGAAGTGTCAAGCATAGGAAAAATACAAAGATAAAGTAGTCCCTACAGGAGTCTCTTGTCTCAGTAGAACTCTTGGCTGGGTTCAGTGAAATTCCAACATAGTAAAAATTTGTATTTAATAATGATTCTATCTTTAGGGACAGTGCTCATATTAAAAGTTGTTGATGTACTGATTGCATTATTTGAATTAAAACTTACAAAGAAGAAAACGAAATACAGTTAAAAAGGGATAAAGCTTTGTTCACGGTAATATTGTTTTCATGTTTATCTGCTGTATTTGCAAATTATGTTACTACTGTGTATGTTAAACATTGACACCTCATTGCTACATGTCACTAAAAACAAGTGGATATTTAATATTATTTAAATTAGATTAATATTATTAAACAAACTATCAACTCAATGTAAAACTAATTGAACAATAAAATAAATAAATAGCTGAAAATAAGGGAAAACGAGATAACTATCAAACCATTTAAACAAATTGAAACACTTTGCTCACGATTTGTAAACACATTTGAACAGACCGATCATCTATGAGATGCATTTTATTATTTGAAAAAAAATGAAACTCCCAATTTAAATTAAAAAAAAAAAAGTAGTGTATGTGATCGATTGATTTGATTGATTACATGAAATTGACTTTCAAACTGGCATGCGAAATTTAAATAAATTTCAAGGACCCCCTTTAATGTAAAATTGAACTTAATCACGCACCCACATCACTAGCCATCGTTCTGCTCTACATAAACCTCTTAAGGTTATCTGTGAAAAGGTCACATTGGGCTAGGTGTCCCAAAATGATGTCTCAAACACAAGGCAGATATTCTTGGTTAACTGAGAACATGCCATACTCGCTAGCATGCACGATGGACCGTACCAGTACGGAACTCCTGCGGGGGGAATCTTTGAGCCCGGCAGGCACACTGTTACAGTATATAATACTTACACCTAATCTGACGAGCGCTGCCATAGTGACATCGATGAGTTTGGTTGCAGATACGGCCCCTATTGCTTCATTGCATGCTGGACAGAAACACTTCCGATGTTAAAGTACCAGACATCCGCTTCTCCCTTTCAGTTGTTCGATCGGGTTCATTTGCCGCCATCTTGTGGTTGGCACTCCTGCGTGATATGTAACATTCAGAAACTTGATATTGAGGAATCAAGTTAAATTCTAATAATACGCCATTGCAAGAGAATACTAAATGTATTTTGGTAATTACTATGATATTTGTGCACAGCACATTTCCTTAGGGTGTGCAACCAGGGAAATGTATTTATAACAAGAAAATATTTATTGAAGAAGGTATCATATATACAAGGTGTATTATTGGACAAACCTATGGACTTAAAGGAACAATCTAAGCACCATAACAACTTTGATGAAATTAAGTTGTTATGATTCCAGAAGATCCATTGTGCCAGTTTACTTTTAGAGTTTAAACCTTCAAGGAACGGTTCAATCCGTAAGTCTTCAGTACCGCGCTAGTCAGCTCTGCCCCCAAACTTCCATTGCAGTCTGAGGCTTCAAAGAGGAAGCCTCAAAAAGGGACATTGCAGATATGCTTAGAACGTACTTAATATGATTTTAGTCTATTACCAGCTCACTTGTCATAGTCTTCCTGTTTGAAGCTTTGGACGGCATCGGATTTTGCAGGCAGAGTATACGTTTAACCGCTGAAGGTAAGTTGGCACCGGGGACCTCATGGCATCTTAACAACTTAATTCCAATGAACTTGTTACTGTCCCAGAGTGTCCCTTTAATTTGTGGACAGCACAATCCAACTTTAGAGTGTGCCCAAGCAAACCTTTTGCAGACAACTATGAATAGTTTAGTTTCCTAAATTTTATACTGTCCACCATTATATATGTGGCTGGGATAGAACTTGGAAAGAATGTTATTCTATTAAAAGTTCCATTAACATTTGTTTGGAATTGTAAAAATATCCAATTTAAAGGCACACTCCAAGCACTGTAACTACTGCAGCACACTGTAATTGTTATGGTGCCAGAAGTGCACAGTTGCTTCTCCTAATGTAAGAAGTCAATCTGTCTGCTAACGATTTGACTTGTTACCTGGGGTTTAAAGGACCACTATAGGCACCCAGACCACTTCAGCTCAATGAAGTGGTCTGGGTGCCAGGTCCCTCTAGTATTAACCCTGCACTTGAAAACATAGCAGTTTCAGAGAAACTGCTATATTTAACTGAGGGTTAATCCAGCCTTTAGTGGCTGTCTCACTGACAACCGCTAGAGGCGCTTCCGTGCTTCTCACTGTGAAAATCACAGTGAGAAGACGCTGGACGTCCATAGGAAAGCATTGAGAAATGCTTTCCTATGGGCGGTTTGAATGCACGCGTGGCTCTTGCCGCGCATGCTCATTCGGCGCTGACGTTGGCAGGAGGAGGAGAGTTCCCCAGCGCCGAGGGAGCCCGGCCTGGAGAAAGGTAAGTGGCTGATGGAGTTTTAACCCCTTCAGCCCAGTGGGAGTTGGACCCTGAGGGTGGGGGGAGGGTGCCTAAAGACCCTATAGTGCCAGGAAAACGAGTATGGTTTCCTGGCAATATAGTGGTCCTTTAAGGGTGTAAGTCACTTCTTTTATTGAGAATATTGGTAGCATTTACATCGAGCTACGGTTAGGTCTCCTGAGTCAAATCCTGCTGTGCAGGGTCAGCACATTGGCAGAAAGCATCAGTTAATTGCTCTCAACGAATGCGCTAAGCCCTGCACCACTGGGTTTACCTCAATTCAGAAAGCTTCTAGCTCTCATATATGATATGGGTGGTGAGTTGGAGATAAAAATTAGTTTTTAGTGATATTCTGAAGAACAAAAATTAATAGAAAAAAGCAAAATTGATCAGCAAGGTTCCACTGAACCTTATATAACAGCTGTCAACTAGGTAAAGTCATTTACCACAATCTTGGCATAATATCCATCCAATGAACCATCCATCGGGCAATTACAATTCAGATTTTACAAATCATTTATCTGCAAGGAAGTTTGAAAACATTATCTTAAAACAGGGCCTAGACCATGTTTTCATTGTTAAGCTTGTGATATTGAGCTTGATAGGCCTATATCTTAATTTTAAAAACAAAAAAATTGCTTGTAAGTAAGCTTCGTGATTACATCATCGCTTTAGCTTTGAATTAGACAGTTGCCTCAATCTGGAGGCTGAAAAATGTGGGAAAATATACAGCAGCAGAATACATCAAGCCGTTCCTGCCGCCCAGGAGTAGTGGTAAGTTTGAGTGTACGGCTTAAGTTTATGTGTTTGCATTTGCTTTTGTATTACACAACCATGTTACATGTTTACCCAATTAAGGGTTAATAAATGCGTAGGAGTTTATAAAAATAAACATTTCTTTCTCATTAGAGATTTTGCCTTTTAAGGTGTGTGACGGTAGTAACTGGTATCACCGTCTAGTATTCCTTTTCCCAATAGCAGAGTATCGCCTTGAATCCACAGGAACAAATATCGCTGGTATCGCCAAATAATCCACACATGAGCCAAAGCTTAATGCTGGAACAAGACTGATTTAATGGAAGCAACAGGCCTTCAATTTATACAGTACCAGCTCCTCCTCTGGGCCAGGCTAGATAATTGAGTATCAGCAACATACTTAACTCAATTATCTGCTTGCCAGAAATATTAAAAATTTTCAACATTTTTAGAAATATACTTTTTACATGATATAACAATATAAAAAACACATCCCTGGGTAGCTGAGGATACTGGGAGTAACATACCCAAATTGCACGAAAATCCATTCAGTAGTTTCTGTGTCGCATCGTGTGGATGTTTGACCGGCTCGCCATGCGGTTGTATCCGATTTAGAGTTCCATGAAATTGGTAGTAAGAGCCGGTCTCCGTTCGTGCAAAATTATACGAAAACCACTATAGGTAGAATGCCGCTGGTTATATGAGAATGCTCCCCTCGTTCGGTTGATCGAAACTCCCGAACGTCGGTCTTGTACTGTAAGGAGAAATAGGTCAGACGGGACTTCCATAAAGACCGGGTGTTCGTGCGAGTGCCATGTCGAAAACAGTTCCAGGCACTCGACGACCAGGTCCCGCTGGCCTCGTTAGGGAGTTTAAGATGGTCGCCATCCTTTATTCTCGCCACGTGTTCGTATGCCGAATGGCGGCCACCTAAGAGCCCTCAATTACCTTGTGGTTTCGTGTTGCAACATGGTGTTCTATGTTCTAATTGCTACCCAGGGTGGTCTCTGTTCGGTAGAACGAATAATCTACCGAACACACACAGAAAAACAAATGCAGCCAAGTCATTTAGGTAGCAGGGAGAGGAAATAGTCAAATAAAGACAGAGAATACAGGGAAATTCTTCACTAGGTGTACAAAGATATTTCTCAGCGGATAGCAGCCGAGGGATTTAAACGGACATCGGTTCAGTGTAGGGTAAAGCTTTAAAAGCCACTTCTCGAATCCATTATGAAGCCCGTTGGTAAGTATTTTTTCCACTTGGCATTGGCTTTAGCTCTGCTAACCATGTATAAAAATCACTGCACAAAACCATTTACTCTTTGCACAAAAAACACATTTCATTTGTACAGTGGAATTAAACACAACACATTTGATTGTACAGTAGAAGGAAAAACCACATTTATTTGTAAAGTGGAATGAAAGGAAAGGGTATGGTAGTTAGCATCTTATTCCAGAAGGTCTAGCTCAGCATCCCATTGTTTACTACCTGATGCCATTTAAGATAGTTAACCGTTAACATTGTGTATTATTCTCGTTGTTTGTATATCAAACTCGTGATCTGTGCATTTTCAGATACAGTTAAGGGACTCTCCAATGATGCCTCATCCTTTTCCGATGATGGTCCGTCCACTTCGTTTAGTAGCGCCAGTACGATGGCGTCAACACCGACCCAACCACAGATTACGCCCAATGCACTCCGGCATCATCCTTTCATATTTAGCATTTTTTAAATGTATTAAAATGGGTGAAACTCACAGTTTGGATAAACTTTATTTACTTCATTAAGAGGTAAAGATGGCCTAGACGTGCAACATGTAAATATGTTAAGTATGTAAACATGAAAAAAAGAGCATAAAGAGTATGTGTTTAACTTACTGTATGGCACTAAACATTGTTATATTATTTGCTGGCAAAATAACTTTCTGCACCAAAGTATCATGATTCTGGCATTTAATCATAAGATCATATACTTTTATCCAAATTGTCACCTATCTCATTACATTTCTTAAAAACTTACTTTCTAGTATCATTTGATTACATAATATTAATATGTCAGATTCTCTTTAAATGTGCCACGTGTAATAACTGTATGATTTAGAGCACCCACTTTGAGCATCCACACCATTGTGAATTATTTCCTATTAAATCCTACTTTAATTGCAACAGCTGCTAAATTAATAATATGTCTAAGTGCCCTTGTGGTTGGCTATATGTCGGGCAGATGTCAAATACATCTTACATAAATTTTTCACAGCACAAAACTTCCATAAAGAGTGCTTGTAAAATGAATATATTTAAACCAATTAGACCATTTGGGCACAAAACACTTTCCCGTATTTTAACTATGATTGCCAAATCCACCATGTTTTCCCAGACACATATTATTTCTCATATACATACTATTTGGAAATACTTGAAAAGTGCTGTCATGAAGTGTACAGAATTTGTATACTGCTACATGGGAATTAATTAATTAATTAAATAATTAATTTAATTATGATTAAAAGAACACTCTAAACACCATAACCACTACAGCCCAATAATGAAAAAATACTAGAGGATTAGATGCTCATCATTACTATGGTGAAGCATCAGTAGATCTCACAAGGATTCCCCAACACAATTTTTTTAGGGGCAGTATTGTTTTAACCTTGACAAAGCCCAAGAATGGATCAGGATAATAACTGGGCAATATGAATTACTCAAGGAAGTGAACTGGGACAAAATTTATCTTTAAAAGTTCATTGTCATATACTTGTGTACATTCTTGGACGAGGCAGGACTGGAAGTTGAATCTTGAATCTTGAATCTTGAGAGAGAAAAAACTAACTCCCTAGCAAAAGTTCTCCTAATTTGTGAATGCACTAGTCGTACTCAAGCTTACGTGAGCATTAGAGATAGCTTTTGACCTTTTTATTTTTTTTAACCTTCTTTAATGTTTGAGTTCTAAAAGTATTGCATGTATTCGGTGAGAACAAACCGACAAAACAGTTTGTTACAGAAAGAAGACACAAAACAAAGATGTGATATGCGAAACAGCATAGTGTGGTTGTAGCAGCAATTGTTTATCATACAATAGTTTGCAAAGTTAAGCTGTTTCTGGCTTGTGTAAATGATTACAGTAAATAATTAATACAGTTTAACTTGAATGCACATATAAAACGATATGATGGGTCAAGGCTTTTTAGCTTTTTTATACTTTCATAATCCACTTTTTAACAGTAGTATGCGTTCTTCCGTTCACCTGTTATTTATACTGTCCGCTCTGGAGTACAGATTAGGTATGCGGGTGGGCCAAGGGTTCCCAATTTAGGATATGTGCCCATTATAGCTATGGTTGGGGGCTGGGATTGGTGGCTGGGGGGGCGCTTTGATATTCAGGTAGTGATATGTAGTAGGTGGTGTCTTGGGTGACCTTGGGAGGCTTAGTTTATTTGGTGCCATGTTGGTGAGGAAGATCTGAGTGCAGTGTAGTTTAATTGTGTGGAGTGGTAAATGACAGGGAATAATGTCCCCAACAAAGTAGAGGAGGAAAAAGGGGTGTGTAGTTGTGTGGATATGGGGGGGGGAGGGTGTGGTTCCTTATGGAGGGGAAGAGAGCTGAGAGGGGTAACGTGGAGCAAGTTTTCAGGAATAGTGATGTATACAGCACTAGCTGGGGATTGGAACCTCAGCCAGGGGTCCCATATTTTGTTACAGTGTTTGGTTGTGTCATGGATTAGGGCTGAAAGGTCGTCCATTTTTCTGGCCTCGTCTGTCTTTTTTTTTCATGTCTCCCATGATCGGGATCTGGGCCGGACTGGGAAAAATATTTGGCCGGGCATTTTTTAATAACAGTGGCCCACTAAGAAGGGGGTGGGGCAGACAGGGTGTGTTTTGTTATCACCAATGACAAGCACGTGCCCTTTCAAAGTGATCATGTTGGTTCAATGCTCTTCCAGGGCAGACCATGCACAGAGCTCTGCTGAAGTGCTCTAGCATGAGAAAATTGCAAGCAAATTTAATTTAATAACATGCTTGCGCTGTGTTTCCTTGCAACTTGTCTCTGGTGTGTCTATAAATGGGATACCAGGAGACAAAAGGGCCAGGAAAGAGTATTGTGCATGTGTTTGGAGCCTGCTTGTGGGATTGCGTGTGTGTAGAGTGAGCTGATTGTGGTGTAGTATTGTGTAATAAGGTCGGTTTTAGTCATGTTGTGTTTGTGGTGTAATGTATTGCATGTGTGGTTAGGGGCTGTAGAGAGTGTGTGCATACAGGCTATGGTGTGTGTATGTGTGTATAGTTGGTGTAGTGTTTGTAGGGGTTGTAGAGAGTGTGTGTTTAGGGAATGTAGTATGTGTTTGCTTACAAGGAATCTAGGAAAGTGAGGCATGGGGGGGAAGACTATAGATCAGGGAAGTGAGGCATGGGGGGCAGCCTATAGCTCAGGGAAGTGAGGCAGCCTGTAGATCAGGGAAGTAAGGCGGGGGCAGCCTATAGATCAGGGAAGTGAGGCTTGGGGGCAGCCTATAGATCAGGGAAGTGAGGCATGGGGGGCAGCCAATAGATCAGGGAAGTGAAGCATGGGGCAGCCTGTAGATAAGGAAGATGGCATGGGGCAGCCTATAGACAAGTGGAGGCATGGGGCAGCATATAGATCAGGGAAGTGAGGCATGGGGCAGCTATAGATCAGGGAATCATGGGGGACAGCCTATAGATCAGGGAAGTGAGACATAGGGGAGGCAGCCTATAGATCAGGGAATTGAGGCATGGGGGGAGAGCCTATAGATCAGGAAGTAAGGCATGGGGGCAGCCTATAGATCAGGGAAGTGAGGCATGGGGGTATAGATCAGGGAAGTGAGGCATGGGGGGCAGCCTATAGATCAGGAAGTGAGACATGGGGAGAGAGCCTACAGATCAGGGAATGAGGTGGCAGGGGGCAGAGAGAGCATATAGATCAGGGAAGTGAGTAAGGGGGCAGAGAGAGCCTACAGATCAGGAAAGTGAGGCGGGGGCAGAGAGAGCCTATAGATCAGGGGAGTGAGGCATGGGTGGGCAAAGAGAGCCTACAGTAAGTGTGGCATTGTGGGGCAGCCTACAGATCAGGTAAGTGAGGCATGGGGGGGGCAGAGAGAGCCTATAGATCAGGGAAGTGAGGCATGGGGGTGCAGCCTATAGATCAGGGAAGTGAGGCATGGGGGGTGCAGCCTATAGATCATGGAAGTGAGGCATGTGGGCAGCCTATAGATCAGGGAAGTGAGGCATGGGGCAGCCTATATATCAGGGAAGTGAGGTATGGGGGGACAGCCTATATATCAGGGAAGTGAGGTGTGGAGGGTGCAGCCTATAGATCATGGAAGTGAGGCATGTGGGCAGCCTATAGATCAGGGAAGTGAGGCATGGGGCAGCCTATATATCAGGGAAGTGAGGTATGGGGGGACAGCCTATATATCAGGGAAGTGAGGTGTGGAGGGTGCAGCCTATAGATCATGGAAGTGAGGCATGTGGGCAGCCTATAGATCAGGGAAGTGAGGCATGGGGCAGCCTATATATCAGGGAAGTGAGGTATGGGGGGACAGCCTATATATCAGGGAAGTGAGGTGTGGAGGGGGCAGCCTATAGATCAGGGAAGTGAGGCATTAGGGGGCAGCCTATAGATCAGGGAAGTGAGATATGGGGGCAGCTTATAGTTCAGGAACGTGAGGCATGGGGGGCAGCCTATAGATCAGGGAAGTAAGGGAGGGTAGAGGGGAGAGAGCCTATAGATCAGGTAAGTGAGGGAGGGGAGAGGGGAGAGACCGCCTATAGATCAGGTAAGTGAGTGATGGGGAAGATGAGACATCCTATAGATCAGGTAAGTGAGGGATGGGGGAGGCAGCCTATAGATCAGGTAAGTGAGGGATGGGGGAGGCAGCCTATAGATAAGGTAAGTGAGGGATGAGGGGTGCAGCATACAGATCAGGTAAGTGAGGGATGGGGGAGACAGCCTATAGATCAGGTAAGTGAGGGATGGGGAGGCAGCCTATAGATCAGGTAAGTGAGGGATGGGGGAGACAGCCTACGGGAAAGGTCAGTAAGGAGCAGGAAGGTAAAGTAAGAGAAACGAGCAGGAAGAGACATCAAGGAGCAGAAAGTAGCTGGAAAGGGCAGCAAGGAGCACAAAGGTAAAGTAGGAGAAGGAACAGAAATGAGCAGGAAGGGACATCAAGGAGCAGAAAGGGTCAGCACTGAACTGGAAGGGGCAGAAGGAGCATAAACCTAAAGTAGGAGAAGGAACATAAATTAGCAGGGGGGGCAGCAAGGAGCATGAAGGGTCTGCAAGGGGCAGCAAGGAGCAGGAAGGGTCTGCAAAGAGCAGAAAGTAGGAGAAGGAGCAGAAAAGGGTAGCAAGGAGCAGAAAGGGACAGCAAGGAGCAGAAAGGTAAAGTAGGAGAAGGCGCAGAAAGGGTCTGCAAGAAGCAGAAAGGGATCAGAAAGGTAATTGAGCAGAAGGAGCAAAGGAGGAGAGAAGACAGTGTCAGAAGTAAAAGAATGAAGGAGAAGAAAAGGAGATTGAAGCAGAAAGAACAGGTGAAGTGAACCCTCTACTTTATTCTGGACACCAGATCATAAGGCTTTGGTACCTGCGCCTGGCAGGGAAACTTTGGACCTTCTCATCTACCTAGGTAAAAAAAAATATCCATGTTAATGCGTTCACTTTAATTTACTATCAGGAAGCACATAGTG